AATATTTTAGCTTGACTCAAAAAATAAGATGCAAATTATTAAATTATGATCAACCTATGGAGTGGATATCAGCAAAACTCAAAAGATTAATTATGCATTAAATTTATATATTATTCTTTGCTATAAAAAATCAAGGTCTAACAATTATATTACAAACACATCTTTATTTATATAATACTTAATAAAATTACTCATAACTTATCATTTCTTATAATCGCGCGAAGCGCGTATAAGTTCACTAGTAAAAATATAAATGTGCATTTAACAAAAGTCAAATTGTTGTCTTATCTCTTCTCTTTCATTTAGATGACTCAAAAGTAGTATATCAATATATACATAGTTTTACCCTATATATATATAATGTAATTTGTTGCCTAGGGGGTTAGGGTCCCGACACCCACGTAGGTCTATCCCTCAGTGTAAAGTCTACCCAAAAGAAAAAATAACAACAATAAAATAATGCGATAATTGAAACAAAATAAACAATACAAGACAAGAACTATAAAAGTACGTCCAGTACTATGACAAATACAAAACAAGCCTAAACCCAAGCCCGACAAGAGAACACTCCAGTCTCCATCCCTAATAACATTCTAACCAAATAAACAACTTTCAATTCTTCCTATTTAGGGTCATGTCCTTAATAATACGAAGTTGCACCATATCATATATGATCACCTCTTCACAATACTTTTTTCAGCTTACTTTTATTATTCCGCGTACCCTCTATAAGCGATCTCTCGCACCTCCTTATTGGGGCATCAACACACATCATTTGCACAATATCACTTTCTCTTGAATAACCTTATTCATAATCTTATTGCTTCTAATATATCCATGTATTCATCTCATCGTCCTTATTTCTGATACAAAAACTCAATTATTGTATTTTATGATCAAACTAAATCATGCTCAACTTTATCCTTTGCTAGCAATGAGAAAGTCCACTTTCGGTCCCTTTCCCTCTAATTTCAAACAAATCACAAAACCTTAAGGGGCCAATGTGTAACTTTATAAACCTCAGTACCCAATTAGTATTATTCTCTTATTTCCAAATAGCACCTTCGCTTTTCTCTCTCTATAACTCATCATCATCTCAATCGGATCTTCCTTAGCCCCGAATAATTTTCCGACAAAACCTAACCCTAACTTTTCCAATGGCCAGCGATTCCAATGAACCTTCCCGTCGCAAACACCATCGATCTTCTCCTTCCGATGAGGATACCGGAGAACCATTGAAACGCCGTAAGCACCGCCACCATCATCGCCACCATCGCCACCATCGCCATCATAGCAAGAAGCATCTTGAGAAATCCGATTCGAAATCCGAGAAGGAAATGGTTAAATCAAAAAGTGAGATTGAGAATGGTGGTAAACCTGGAGAAGAGATGAAGATTGGTACTGTTGTTGGTGTTTCTACTTTAGGGATTGATTATGATATGGAGGAAGGAGAAATCATTGAGGATGATGTTGTGGATACTGCTGCTGTTGGTGATGCTGATGAGACTACCGTGACAGAAAAATTGGGGAATGAAGATGATTTGAACATGGTCTGTTCAGATTTCTTTCGATTTTAATTGCTGTATAAATATCGTGTTATTTACTTATTTATTCTTCCAGGGCCTGTTTGGTTGCGCTCATGGTTCTTTGAAGATTAACAATACAATACAATTTAGTTTAGTTTTGAAAAAAGAAAAGTGATCTTTTTGGTAAGTAGGGAAAAACTTATGTTTTCAAATACAACATTTCAACTGTAAGCAACCAAAAAAGGGACCTTTGTTTAGATTTTTACTATTTTTTGTGTCCAAGATATGTTAAATTGATGTTGTTTCAACTGTTTGATTAATAAGTATGTTGCATAAAACAGACATGAGAATTATGTATTCCATACAGAGCTTTGAAGTCCTGATGATTGAGGGCTTTCTTTTTATTAGTAAGAAACTTTCTCGTGGCTGTTAAAATTTGAATCTTTTCTGTCTGCTAAAATATTGGAAAATTGTACTTTATCATTTAATTCAGTTCATATTTCTTGTCTAGGAATTGCATGAAGCTCAAGAACAAGGGCCTGCAGACAATGTGGAAAAAGTTGACAGAGATTACACTGTTTCTGGACGGCATGATGAGCAAAGCAAAAGTAGAAAGGCTGATAGGTCTAGAGAAAGGAAGTCTAGTGACAAGCATTGTGCCAATGGTAGTTACATAGATAAGTTTCATAAATTGGACTCTGAACCACAGAAAGAAGATAGTATCACTGCTGAAGAAATTACAAAACAAAAGAGCTATGACGAGGATGAGAATGAGGTACAGGATCGAATAATAAGATCCTCGACTCCTGAAAATGTTGGAAAGAGGCATAGATCTGTTAGGGTATCATCTTCACATTATGAGCACCCTGAAGAGAGACATGTTACAAAGTCATCCAAGTCACCAGATCGCTCCAGAGGAAGATCACGATCAAAAAGTGTTCTGGAGGAGTCTTTCCTTGTACCTAAGTCTCGTGAGATAGATGACACATATGAAAAGGAAAGCAGATATAAAGGTAACTTTGATGATGAAAAAATTGTATACAACCGGGACTATCGACATGGAAGCCGAGATTCTTCAAGGGACAGGGAAAAGGAGCATAATTCTGGTAACAGCAGATCCTCTAGAGACAGGTATTATAACAGGGAGAGTGTTGATAGATTTCGGGAGAGTAGTCTGGAGAATGACAGGGATAGAGTAAGAGATAAAGACAGGGAGCGTGAGTTGGCTAGAGAAAAGCGAAGGGAGAGCGATAAGGAGAGGCGAAGGGAGAGCGATAAGGAGAGGGAAAGAGTAAGGGAGAGGGACAGAGAGAGGGAAAGAGAGAAAGCTCGAGATAGGGAAAGGGATAGAGAAAGAGAACATGAGAGGGGGAGAGGGAGAGAGAGGGAGAGGGAGAGGGAAGAGAGAGAAAGGAGGAATAGGGATAGGGAAAGCAGTGGACGTAGTAGGGAGGCAGATAGGGATAGAAATAGTGATAGGTACAGCAGGCATCAGGATGACAGTGTTGCTTATAATAGACGTAATAGACATTACGAGACTGACATTGAGAGAGGAAGGACAAGTAATCACTTAAAAACTGAGACCACAAAGCAACATGCTGTAGAGACAGAGAGTGAGAGATCGAGAAGGTATTGTTAATTCTAGCTAGCGACTTTTGATATCAGAACCTCTTCAGCAGAGGTGTTTTACTTAATATGTGGTTCTTGTTTTTCTCATTTTTTGTGTATTGCAGAGATGAAGTTGAACAGGAGGATTATCAGGAAAAAGTTGTTTTCCAGCTTGCTGAACAAGATGAAGAAGATGAACTTGATAGAATTAAGGAGGAGAGCAGAAGGCGAAGGCAAGCTATTCTTGAAAAATATAAGATTAAGAACTCACCGAAGGAACAAGTTACTCAATCTGGGGACGTTGGTAATTTCTTTGACTTGAGATTTCTTGATATATTATTTGATTCTGTTTTGCCGTATTTAATATTCAAAACTTGGCCTATTCTATACGTTTACATGATTTACAAGTCTTTGGTCGGTCTTTTTCTGTTTTTCATTTTATTGTTGTTAAACTCGACGGTGGTAAAGCACCTTCAGGTTTATCATCTGTATATTCATGAATATATGCTGTGAATGTTGTATTTTGGCCAATCAATCACCCATTCCGCATCGCAGTTTAAGTGCCAAAGTTATGCCTGCTTAATGAGTTGAATTTTGGATTTGCTCTCTTAAATGTGTATGTTATAGTCTTATAGATCTTCTGATGTTAGTTGGAGTCTGTTGTCACTCAGGTTTTATGAAGTCTTGCATTGCACTGTATATGATTCTAGAGTTCTGTGCTAAAGATATTCTCTATCAATCCTTTGCATGTCTGGGTTGAGTTTCTGGGGTCTAACTATCTTTCTCATTTATTTGCACTAGTTGAGATTCACATGGATCAGTCTTCAAAAAAACCGGCAATCAGACAGAATGTTGTGCAAGAGTCTATTGATGCTAAGAGCAATGGTGCAGATGTCGAGCCAACATTTTCTGTTGGGAAATCACCTCTGCAGGGTGGTCAGATTGGTGATGTGCTGGCTTCTGGAGCTGGTGGACTGGGACAGGGTACTCCAAAGGTGTGTCACATGCCATTGAGATTTAAATGGGGTTTTCTTTTCTGGTTGACTGGTGGTATTTATTCTGCTTTTTTATCTTTCAACACTATTCACTGGGACATCTTTAGTTCTTGTCCTTAATGTTTGTTCTAGAATTAGTTGATGCAGTAATTTGCCTTCTATGTCTGCCTTTTGCTCAAATAGTTCTTTTTCTTAAATGCTGGCTTTATCTGATGATTTACTTCTGTTTACTACTCTTTGCAGAGTGAGAGGTCGGCTGACATGTTTTGTGACGATATATTTGGAGAATCGCCTGCTGGCATCAGGAAGATGGTCAGTTGCTATCTTAGAAACATCGTTAGAGATTTTTTTGTTTGCTAATTCTTGGATTTAGCTTGTGTTGACTTTTAATGTTGAAGAGATTGGGCAGTAAAAGCATGCATACTGTTAGGTAATCCAATGTAGCACTTGTTATGTTGGCCATTTCATTGTTTATTTATCTTTAATTCAACTAATTGTGAGCAAACCTTTCTTTCCTGCTGAACCAAAAATGACAAACGGTTGAACCATTTTGGAAACCATGACTACAAAATACCTCACTACATTATGTCTGTTTCTTTAGCTGTTGGAGATTTTGTAATACCATTTAATTTCCGTTTAAAGTCTGATGTCTAGGAATATAATGTACTGTTAGAACCCTGGATTGTATGCGTCCTTATATTTCCTTGCTCCTTGTTGCCCGAACGATAATAAATGAAAACTCCGCTCTAACAAGAGAGAAAAAGAGGATGGTTTTCTTGCTTTGTGCTTGTACCAAAACTGTGGGAAACATGTTACCATGCTTATAGGAAGTCCTTTCCTTGTTTATGTAATAAGCACCTGAATTTCATTTTTCGTTGGTTTTTATTTGTTGTCTGTCAGGGCAAAGGAGATGGTGTGGCAGTTGAGCGCAGTGGCCTTCATGATAACTGGGATGATCCCGAAGGGTATTATAGTAAGTATTTCATCTCACTTGTTACCAGGATCTTTCGTATTTTAGCTTTTACCTATATGCTAGTGCTACTACATCTTATACTTGACACCATATTCCTTCATTTTTTGCTCATGATAGCCTTTGTTAATTTTATCCAAAATGCTTGATAAATTTTGAGTAACATATGACTCATTTTCTGTTTGCTTCTGTTTAATAACTATAATAGTGCAATATTTATTCAGGTTCAAAAACACTATACATAAGGGAAAAATGTCTTGTCCTCTTTTATATTTCAAGTTGAGATTATTTTTTTTGCTAGTTGATATTTTTTTCCCCATTATCTATCAAGTTTAGAACCTTGCGTCTCTGACCTCGGGGATATCTTGGTTATAAAAAAATCTTGATTTAAGATTGGCAGGAATAATTTCAGAGAAGATTGTTATGTTGATTAATTTTTGCTTTGATGGCTGAAAATCGCTGTCTTAGTTGATGTCTACTTGTTGGTTTGCAGGTTATCGGTTCGGAGAAATTCTTGATGGCCGTTACGAGATCGTTGCTGCTCATGGTAAAGGAGTCTTTTCTACTGTTGTCCGCGCTAAAGATCTCAAGGCTAGACCTGGTGACCCTGAGGAAGTAGCAATTAAAATGATACGCAATAATGAAACAATGTGAGTTGTTTCTTAGTTTCCCCATTTTGTGCTGTCCTTGATAGCTCTGGTGGCCTAATTATGTTGTTTTCATCCTTTTTAGGTATAAAGCTGGTATGGAAGAGTTGGTCATACTGAAAAAACTAGTTGGTGCAGATCCTGAAGACAAGCGCCACTGTGTTCGTTTTATTTCTAGCTTCAAGTACCGGAATCATCTCTGTTTGGTTTTTGAGTCTCTTCATATGAATCTCCGGGAGGTTTTGAAGAAGTTTGGACGTAACATTGGACTCAAACTCACTGCTGTGAGGACGTACGCAAAGCAACTTTTCATTGCTTTGAAGCATTTAAAAAATTGTGGTGTGCTTCATTGTGATATTAAACCCGACAACATGTTGGTAAGTCAACTGTCTGTGTATCTTCTTCTTTCCGTGGGCTAGCTAATTCTCCGACTAGACATCTGCTGAGAGTTTTACTTTGCTTCCCTTAAATTGTATGTATATGTTAACTTTCCGTATTTAATTGTTTAGGTAAATGAAGCAAAAAATGTGCTGAAGCTTTGTGACTTTGGTAATGCTATGTTTGCTGGAAAAAATGAAATTACTCCATACCTCGTGAGCCGTTTTTACCGTGCCCCAGAGATCAGTAAGATCAATTCTTCAATATTTGCTTTTTATATTTTTGGGACTTCCCTTTCTCTTTTTTCTATTATTCAGTGCTCTGACATTGATCTAAGTAATTTTGTGAATTGTATGCTTTTGTTTGATTTAAGTTTCTGTATTATGTGATGTTGCAGTTCTTGGATTGTCGTATGATCACCCGATGGATATATGGTCAGTGGGTTGCTGTTTGTTTGAGCTCTATGCTGGGAAAGTATTATTTCCAGGTCCAACTAATAATGACATGCTTCGTCTTCATATGGAATTGAAAGGTCCATTTCCAAAAAAGATGCTTAGAAAGGTTCGTCTTTAGATATTCTCTATATTACCATACGCCAATTAGGAATTTTATGATTTGAAGCTATTAACCTGGTTGATTAGTTGCTGCGGACAATTCTAGGTGATTGCAGTAGGTGGTGATGCTTTTATAGGTTTTGCATCTTTCTTAATAATTGACATGATATAGTCAGTATCGAAACAATAATTCTTTCCGTTCTTTTATTTCAGGGTGCATTTACAGAACAACATTTTGACCAAGATCTCAATTTTCTTGCCATCGAAGAGGATCCTGTTACAAAGAAGGTCATTTCTTGTAGACTTTAGGCTGTCTTGTCATTCCCAGATAATCAAACCATTGATAGTCATTAATGATAACCTTGCTGTATATTAAATTTTGGTTGCACTTGTATACTTTTGCAGGCTATAAGGAAGCTGATTGTTAATATTAAGCCAAAAGATATCAGTTCAATAATTTCTGGCTCTCCAGGTGAAGACCCAAAGATGTTGGCTCACTTCAAAGATCTTATGGAGAGAATTTTTGTGTTAGATCCAGAAAAGAGAATGACTGTTTCCCAGGCATTGAGCCACCCATTCATCACGGGCAAGTGAATGACAACAATGATTTTATGACTAGGGACATGTTGCACTAGATACTAGTGTATTATGATCATATGATCTTAGTTTATTTTCAGTTCTCTAATCATTGGGCTTTATATGTCTTTATCTACTATCATGGGTTAAGTGCTTCGGAGATTGGCATGGTTGAAGTTGCAGAGAAGATTGCTGATTTTGGGAGATCTATATCTTGGCAATTCTTTCAGTGCAATGTTTTCTGTTCTATCGTAAGATAACTTGCCAAAGGCGTTTTTCCCTTCTGTACTAATTCTTGATGGTGATATTATAAAGAGCTTCATACAATTTTAAAATAGTGATCATGTCTCAAGTGGTACTTTGGATTCAAGTCTTGAGAGTGGAGAATAACTTGTGCCAAAATAGATATTGACAGAAGCATGGTTATTCATATGTCTCTGTAAATAAACACAACGAATTATCTGTTCACTCTGAATGTAGATTGGGATCTGTCTTTTTATTTTTTTTCTCCCTTTCTGTACTTTTAGTTTTCTTGACTCTTCTTGTCTTCAAATCTCTGAATTAATTGTTTATTTGTGTGGAAGTATATAGTTTTCAGGCCTATTTCTTAATTGTGTATCATCTCTCTTTTGTTTTACATACTGTTCAGAATCCTCGGGTCCTGGAAAGTCTAATTTACTTTTTCCTTCAGGATATCTACCAGGGCTTTGATGCAAGATTCAGTGATTTAGATGCTTAAAAGGCACCCTGGAGAAGGTACCTTGGTTTGTTTGTTAGGAATTACTGTGACTCCCTTTAAATGTTGTGAATCTACTTGATTCCTCAGACATCAGTGATAATTTGTGCTTTCTTGTTCGTGCCAATTTTTAATTTTTGTTGACTAGTTATGATTTCTGAACTTTAATTTGGTCTTGCCTGAAAAATTGCAGACCTGAGGGTGGCTTGTCAATGAGCCTCCTTAGGTTAGAATAGTAAAACTATCAAGAGCTAAAGGTTCTATATTATTTGGAAATAATTTGGAGTCTGTGTTATTTCTTCTATTTCTTAAATTTTTTTCCGAGGAACACTTTCTAATAAGTTGCATTGCATCTGATCCATGGTATGGTCATCCTGGAGCAATGTATGACTGGAGAATGATCAGATGCAGCCTTGAAGTGAGAATTGTTTCAGTGAGTTGTCAATTTTCTTTTCTTGCTGTTTGTTCATTAAGAATAATATTGTCTACATCCCTTTGAGAAGTGTGGTATTGATATGGCTTTTTGTCTTGCTAGGGTGTGGTTCCATGCATCTGCAGTTCTAGTAAGTATCCTTGAATTTCATTACGTCTCTGGTGTAAAAGGTGGGTTATCTTTTGAAAACCTGATATTCTTCTATCAATGTATTACGTTCAAAGTTTGCTTGTCTTCCATGAAATTGACCTACATGGAATATAATTCAAGTTCTTAACTGGATTTGCTGATAAACTTGGCCATTGTGGATCAAATCTATCTCAAATTTCAATTGTCCCTTTTCCTGAACACTAATGAAAAAAAAATCTGTTTAGCTTGCATTGGAATTTGACTTTCTAGATCCCTCCTCCAAGATGCATTGAATTTTTCTCCAACTGCATGTTCAAGGAACATTTGACAAGCCTCTCATATTTTTCTTCCTCCACCTTCTTAAGCACCAACTTATTGCTCCTCTGCCAAGCCTCTCTGACTCTGTCTATCCATCTTTTGGCCATTAAACTTTGTTAGTTATGACAAGCTCAACTCGTGACTCTACGTTTTTTAAACATAAGGTTTGTCCTTCTCGAAGGATTTGAGGTGTGATGTATAGGCACGAGTCTTTAAACCCCTCAAAGCCTGACTACCATTTGACTAGTAATCTTTCTTTCTCCTGTTAACTGATTTTGCACTCGAGTTTGTTGTTTTAGGATTATGGTACTTCTCAGGAAATTCAGACTTCAGATAATGTTTAGAGAGGACAGGTGCATGGCTATTATGGATACTTAACTGAATAATCATTTCCTCATAAAAATTCTTCTCAAGTAAGAATGTAGAAATGGGGAATTTCTTTTTGATGAAGGTAGGAATATGGAATTTCTTAATTTAGATGAGCACTGTGAAGGAACACTATTTTCGAATGTAAAACAAAAACCATATTTTTAATGAGGTAGTGTTGCAAATTAAAGCATCACTAAAAACATATGAAAGCTCGTAAGGTGTCTAATAGAAGCATGTAATTAAACTACAGCCAATCTTGCTGCATTTTGCAAAAGTAAAGTGAGAAATAGCATATACATGTATAAGATTGTTTATTTGGTTTAATAGACTTATTTTTCAAAAAATTGAGTACTCAACTGTAAACGAACCTTGAAACTTTTAAGACCGAAACCGACTGAAGAACTGTGAACCAAAAAAATTTGGTTCGGACAGTTTTTTCGGTTTTAACTAAAGGAGTGGGCATTAAATCAAGAAAATTATCTGAAACGAAAATTTTGATTTTGTGGTTTTTGGTCGGTTCATGGTTAATGTTTCTAACATTATCAGTTTATAAATATGGTTCTTCAGTTAACTGGAAAATCTAAGTGTAAGAGGTTTTGGGGTTCTCTATACATTAGTCTTTAGTTAAAAAAGTTCTCCAACCCAATTACCCTCCCAAGGCTGATGCCAAGCCTAGGCTCCTAGCTTAGTTTATGCTAGGGTTCCGAGTCTCTTTTGCTGACGCATTGTCGTCTCACACACTTACCATTTCGCGAGTCTTTAAATCCCTCAATGCCTGTCTACCATTTGACTAGTTATCTTTCTTTCTCACCCTATTGAATTCTGCACTCAAGTTTGATGTAATTGTTTTAGGATTATGGTACTTTCCAGGAAATTCAGATTTCGAATAATATTTAGAGGGGATAGGTGCTTGACTTTTATGAGATGCTTTACTGAATAGTAATTTCCTTAAAATTTTCTCAAGTAGAATGTAGTAATAGGGAATTTCTTTTTTTGATGAAGGTAGAAATATGGAATATCTAAATTCAGACTAGCACCTAAAGGAGCTATTTTCCTTTGTAAAACAAAAATCATATTTTTAATGAGGTAGAGTTGCAAATTAAAGCATCACTAAAAACATATGAAAGCTCATAAGAAGTCAAGTAGTTAGGCATGTAAATTGCAATTGAACTACTGCCAATCTTGCTGCATTTTGCAAAAGTAATGTGACATCCAAGATGAGAGGCAAAACAAGTGAGAAATAGCATATGCATGTATAAGTTATTTAGTTTAATCGGCTTACTTTTCAAGAACTCAACCGTAACAAACCTTGAAAGTTTTAGACCTAAACGGACTGAAAAACTATGAAACAAAAAAAATTAGTTCTGTTAGTTTTTTCGGTTTTAACCAAAGGGGTGGGCATTAAATCAAGAAAATTAACTGAAATGAAAATATTGATTTTTCTGTTTTTGGTTGGTTCACGGTTTATGTTTTTTGATAGTATCAGCTTCTCACTAAGGTTCTTCAGTTTCTCAAAAAAAAAAAGGTTCTTCAGTTAACTGGAAGATCAAAGTGAAAGAGGTTTTGGGGTTCTCTATACAGTACTCCTCAGTTTAAAAAGTTTTCTAGCCCAATCAACCCTCCCAAGGCTGAAGCCCAGAGCTCTGATGCCAAGCTTAGGCTCAGCTTAGTTTATGCTAGGGCTCCAAGTCTCTTTTACTGATGCACTGTCGCCTCACTCTTACCGTCTCACGTTTGTCCTGCATTTGTGCTGTACTGGCCTGCTTCGACTCCCTTCTCTTTCTCGAGAAGTCATACGTAGATTTTAGTGAATTGACTTGCTAAAGTTGAAGTGCATCTTTACTCTTGTTTCTGTACTTGTGAATGTAAGATATGTTTACCCATAGTCCATTCCTGTTTCTTTAACTCACTTCACCACCGCCTATGTTTGAGTTAACTCACCCCATTGTTTGTTGTTTGGTTCTCTTGTTATTTATCTTTGGTGAAGCACTCACATACTTCTATCTGACTTAGTTCTCTATTTCTGATGTCTTAGAGTGTTTAGCATTCCGTCTATGGGTTCTCAATCTCTGTGTGTGTACCTTTTACATTTTATTATGTCTTTAGTTAGAATAGCAGCTGTCATTTGAGTTGTTTGTTTTTGGTTGAATTCTTTTTGTCATTCTAATTAGCTATTATAAATTTAAAAATATTCAGAATACATTGAATCCTGCATATGTTGATTCGGTTTGACATTACAAATCACTTCTTAGTGTATAACAAGTGACATTACCCATCACTAGTCTGGATAAGTAAGAAGTGTAAAGAGCTCAATTTTCCCTTGAACTATGTGAAAGGTTTAACTTTGCCCTCTGTTAAAAGTTTGGGGTCATCTATATCCTCGACAGTCGCCATTTAGTTTTTGCTCGAAATTTTGAACTTCTAACCATAAGGGCAGATCTCAATCTTTTTCTCTATTATATGAGTTGGACTCTAATTATCCGGAGTAGCAGAAAAACATGCCATGTTGCTATGCTGTCAAAAAAATGCAGCACCAAATTTGCTTTACACACCATCACTTGTGTATTGTGAAGTAAATTTATGAAAATGTATGTTCGAATAGAAGCTTTTTCTGCCATTGCAGATTGTCTGTTAGGTTTTTCTCTAATCACTTATGCCTTCAAATATTCTCAGCTGCATTTACTGCACCAACCTGTGTTTATATTTGAGGTTATAGCTTGAATGTTAGGGATGAGTGTTGTTTTGGAGCTCGACATTGTCAGAGATTGTTAAATGATCATATCATGCCTTGATTCCTTTCGTAACTGTGGTTTCTATTTAGATTGTAGTAATCGATATATTGCTTCATGATTTAGCTTGTTGCGACTTCTTTTGGAGTTTGGGAATGTTATCACTATGTATGTATGTAATGGTTAGTTAAACCAGTGCTCCTATTACGTGCTGCACTAATGCTGAAGAATTTCCCGCCTTCACCTGGATGTTCTGCTTATCCCTTTTGATATTTTAGTGCATCACAGTTGCCAGATTTTGTAACCTGGATAGTGTGATTCTCAGGTAAGAAAGCCTACTAACATCTTCAGAATCGCGACTTATGTCTGCTTTGATTCTTCTTCATCCTAACGATGTGTGTGGTTCAGCTCGAAAGATTTATGTTTGGGCAGAGCGGTTGTTAATGTTTCACACTTATTCTATGAAATAAATTTACGTTTTCTCTTAGCTTCAAGTTTCAGCATTTGATGAAAGTCTATCAAAAGCAAAAAAGTGAATAATGAGGCTTATGGTATGTTTGCTTCTCGTAAACATATTGCCAACGTTAACGATCAAAATTTCAAATAAAAAAGGAAATATTGTAGGTATATAATACAATGTATACATACATATTAATGTTTATGTCGTTAATAAATATAGATGTGACTAGAGGAGTATTTAATCATATTAACTAGTATGCATACAAAGCAATTGAATTTTACTTTAACCTGATGAAATGCATATTTCATTTGTTCAAGTTTCTGCGGTTTAGCCAACTTAATTGATAGACTCAAAACGAGTTATGAGTAGTATCCACACTTCTCATGAAGCAAGTTGTGTGGGTCTTCTTTTTTATCTCAGTGGACCAAAATATTGCAACTCTTGAGAGAAATTTTGTCTCATAATCATAAACTAGATGAGGTCCCCAATTTGTTGACAAATCATATAATGTTAATTTTTTAACTAAAAAGGATACCAATTAATATGACAAAACTCAATCAGATTCCACGCGTATACTTTTGTTGCATCAAAAATCAAAGACGTAGAAAAAAATGAGCTTATGGAAGTTTCATTGTTGTAACATAATTTTGGGTTAATAACGATTGAAAGCTAAAGATTATGAAAGAAGGAAAAAAAAAAGTCAAAAATCTATAAATGCAATAACGTAAAGGAAATTATCATTCACTAGAATTTTGCTAAACCAAAAGTAAATTAACACTTTCTTTTGATTACTGAAGTCTGAAAGTACCATGAAAGTTCCAAATTTATCACCTAATATTTATACTTAAAATCACAAAAAAAAAGAAAAAAAAGGGTAGAAGATGTGTACTGATTAATATAATATATATATATTCATTGAGTTGGCATAAACATCGAAAGCAAGTTCATATACTCACAAAAGTGCTACCACTATTAGTACGAACAGAGTCCTTTTTTTAAGTAATGTGATAGTGTCAATCTTTTTTAATATACTATCAGTCTATTACTGTATAGTTAAATACTATTAAAAAACCAAAACTATTGAACCGTACACACAGAAATTAGATAAAAATAAATCTAATAATAAAATAGATTACTAGTCAATTTATTTTTCATTGTCAAATATATATAAATGGTTGTGATGTTCCCGCTAGGTAAATTGTTATTATTGACGTTGAGAGGTTTAAATTTCTAATTTCAACTTGACTATCTTTTCAGTCTTCATTGACTGTTCAATAATAATAATAATAATAATAATAATAATAATTCATTTTATTTCATACAAATCCGAAATGGATATCCAATTTGCTTCTGTTAGAGATTATATACGGGGATAGAGTTGTAAAATTTGTGATTTTTAAATATTTCTAACACACTAGAAATATTTTTTGATATTATAATCTTATTATGTCATGTTTATTGTTATAAAAAAGAAAAAGTAATAGTGTGTAATTAAAGGATAAAAATAAAAAGTAAGAAATGATTCAAACGATTACGACGCATGCACACATGTAACGCATGCACGTAGTGTCGTGTGACAAATTGACAAATAAAGCTTTTACTGAAAATCAACTATAAATAATAAAGAATTTTACCATCGTTTTTTAATAATAATGATGTAATTATGATTATATTGTATTAAGCAATAATAATTATAATATGTAAATATTATAGCCAAACAATTTGTATAAATATTACGATTTAAACGATTTTAGTTATGATTATGTAATAAACTTATGGTGATGTGGATAATTTTTTTATTGAACCTGAGATGAAGGATGATTAAATCCTTCTACAATTTTAATAATAATTTGTCTTTTTCTCTTCTTCTGTATGGTAGAAATTGTTTCAGAATTTTATATTGTTTGGGGTCGAATAGTTTCTAGTTAAGCTCCTTTAAAATTAACTTCGAAAAATATTTTTTGGTAAAAAGAAAAAATATGTTTAATTTATAAATCTTAAAATATTTTTAAACGGTAATTCACGGTTGATCAAACTTTTTAACCGTGCTTCTAAATGTATTTTTCAAGAAAATGCTTTTCGAAAAGAAAAAAAAACCTACTTTTCTAAGCTTTGAAAAACAATTACATTCAATAAATACTTGTTTTTTCACAATCTCGATCAAAATTTTTTTTTTTCTAAAAAAAAATTAAATAGCACTTTGGAGAATAAAAATAAGTTTGATCAAACAGAATATTAGTCTCGATAATTTCCTAATGACGTCCAAGGTAGTTTTAATTTTGAAAGGTTCTAGAAACAAAGTGATTATAGCATTTATAATTAGTAGCTAATCAGCAGTTGTCAACAAGTTTTGAATAATCAGCTTACCTAACACAACCTCTAATAAGGACTAATTTTTGTAGCTTTTGTAGCAATTTGATACGACTTGGAGACTTTAGTATAAATAAAATTTCATTTTCAAATAACTTTATTACTTGCCCTCTCTCTATTTTGATTCATACTCATCGAAAAATTCTTTTCAAATTTTTCAAAGTTAAATATGATCATATAATCATAATAATTTTTTATTTATATTCGATGATTAAATTTATTTTCAAGTAAAATATATATACATAATTAAATCACTTACAAATCAAATATATTTAATACGGACAAAATTAAATCACTTTCAATCTCTTATTCAGATTGCTAAAAATACCAAAAACGTGTAAGATACTCAATATTTTTTATACAATTAATTTAGCTACAACTCAATATTTTCCTAGTAATTAATAAAGAGTAATGCAAAAAACTTTCCTGATTTGAATTTTTGTTATGTATTTATTTATTAATATTAAATTCACATATAGTTTTTTTCCCTTCTTTTCTTTATTTTGTAATTAATAAAGAGTAATGCAAAAAACTTTCCTGATTTGAATTTTTGTTATGTATTTATTTATTAATATTAAATTCATATATAGTTTTTTTCTTCTTTTCTTTATTTTTTGGCAATGGATCATTCGGGAATAATTTCTGATTCGAGCTTTGAATATAAAAAATATATTTTATATAATATATTTTTGAATTAATTAAATTTTAATGCGAATAACTTCTGATTTGAGCTTTAAATATAAAAAATTATATTTTATACCATATATATTTAAATTAATCAGATTGTAATATTGTGGTAATAGACATGAAACAAAAATGAGAAAAATTTCCATAATTGGACCGTTTCAAAGCCGCAAAAATATCATTTAGTATTTTTTCTAATTTGTACACCTCTAAACCGCGTCTCAAATTCCTATTTTTCCATTTCATACTAAAAAAACTTCCTTCATAAGAAAAATCCCCACATGTTACTTTAACATAATTTTTGTTTATATTATATATAAATATATAATCGTGATGTCCAGATCTATCTACTATCTTTTATTAATAGTTATTAAATAATTATATTTATTAAATTAGAATTAAATAATTATTTTTAATTTACTTATATATAATTATAGAATTTTACTTTTATATATATTCATAATATTCTAATGCATATCTCTTATTATTTATCTCTGCTAAATTTAAATTACAAATTTTAAGAGAACCTCAATAGCTTTCCCCTTCCTTTGACCTTTCCCTAGCCCCCCAAATTTTTTTTACTACTTTATGGTTATTTTAAATGTCCACAAAAAACATTTGCACCATAATATATTTGAGAAATTTCTTATTAACTTCCCTACCACATTCTTAATATATTTTCTTATAATTCAACCTTCGTCATTATCAAAAGTTGCAACTGAGCTAGTTTCATTTGTTCCTATCCTCTAGTCTCTTCAACAACCATTAAAAAAAACAAACTCTTATTGTGTTCAAATTTATAAGAGTTTATACTTCTCTTTCTTTTACTTGTTTCTCATTGAAAGAGTGAGGAAACAAACAAGTGAAAGTGAAGTAGCCATGGGAAGAAAACTTGATGCTTTACTAGGAAGAAACTTTAAAACTAGTAAATTTAAGGCCACTGCAAATTTAGCCATTTCCAGGGTTACTGTACTCAAGAACCAACGCCAAGCACGGTGCTCGATCGCGCGGTCTGATGTAGTTCAGCTCTTAAACCTTGGGTACCATGAAAGAGCTCTTCTAAGGGTAACTTATTTACTTTTTTAGTATGTTAATCGTTTTGATCATGTAGGGATATGTATGGTACATATTTCGACTTTAAAAAAAATAATAGATTCAGTTGAACTCACAGAACCGTTTTATGTTTGTAGGTTGAGCAAGTAATCAAGGAACAAAATATGTTGGATGTGTTTGACATGGTAGAAGGCTATTGTCTTCTCACTATTGAAAGAATCAACCTTATTCAACAAGAGAAGTTAGTATTTTTTTTAATTTATTTATGTTTTCAATCATGGATGTGTTATTTTTTTTTGAAAATCTTAGTAGCTCAGTTAGTAGAGCTTTCTCATAATCTGTCTGTAGAATATGTCCTGAGGAATTGAAGGAGGCGATATCGAGCTTGATTTTTGCAGCTTCAAGGTGTGGTGAATTCCCAGAACTTCAAGAGCTTCGAGGTATCTTCACATCAAGATTTGGGAAAGAATTCGCTGCTCGTGCTGTTGAGTTAAGAAACAATTGTGGAGTAAATACTAAGGTAATAATCATCTGGTATAGTTTACGAACAAAATGGAATGTTTATAATGTACTCATTTACTGTTTTTTTTTTCTCGAAAAGTAGATGATACAAAAGCTGTCAACAAGGATGCCTAGCTTAGAACAAAGAACCAAAGTGCTTAAGGAAATTGCTGCAGAGAATAACATTGTTTTGAAAATTGAGGAAATAATGTTGGAAAATACAGAGGTATGTTCGAGATGACTCTTGAATTATAACACTAAAATATTTCTACTTCTGAAGTAAATTTTAAAGAACTTTTACGATGAAAACAGGAGAAGGAGGTCACTGCGAAAAGGAAGGACGAGCCTGAAGATCACGAATCAGTTTTGCCTCAAGATGTAGACCATGAAGCTAGGAGAAAATTTAAAGATGTAGAAGCTGCAGCTCAAGCAGCGTTTGAGTCTGCTGCTTATGCAGCAGCAGCTGCAAGAGCAGCTGTGGAACTCTCTCGGTCTGAATCACGTGATACAGATGACCCCAAGAGTCCGAGTCAAAAGCCAAGGGATGTATCGGACTCTCGTGAGGATTTGAAATCTGAGTTTCATGCAGGAGAGGAGAAGAATAATGAGGGAGTTGAGAAAATCGAGACTAGTCAGAACTATGGTTTTCATTCTGAAGTCGATCAATTCTCAGATGGAGATGAAGTGGAAGAAGTCGAACAGAAGAAGTTTGAAAAACAGTCCAAGAGATCAGTCTCGGTTTCAAGTTCTGATATTTCAGCAGACGACATTCTTGTTGATGAGGTGAAAAGTCCCAGACATGGTGTAATTTATGATGAAATAGATGAAGAAGTTGGGGAGGAAAACAGAATCCCGTCATTAAAACATCCTAAGAATGAAGTTTTTGGTTCTCCGGTGCACCAAACAGGAAATGAGAAGGAGATTGAAGGATTTACAAAGCAAGGTGCAGAAAAACTAGACATAAATAAGAAGCCAATATCAATGAGAACTAGGAAGAACTATCACTGGTGAACCAAGAATGGGTAGATGTTAAAGAAAAGGAGATCAAAAGGATTCGTAAAGCAAGGTACAGAAAACCTATACATAAATAAGAAGCCAATATCGATGAGAACTAGAAAAAACTATCACTAGAGACCAAGGATGAATAACTGTTTTGCTGAGATTTTGCCAGTTGGTGCATATATTGTGCTTAGTCAATATATCATAGCTGCATATTTTCTTTATCTTTGGAGATTTTGTGAGTTTGCGGATATATTTTGATGCTTTTGTCAATATAATGTAGCTTCATATTCTGTTTGTTTGATTATAAGCTCTAGACAGAAGCTGTGATATTTTATAATAATCAAAGCTACATCCAGATTCTTTTGATTCAAAACTTTACTGCTATGGTCTACTATTATCTGCTGTGAAAAAAGGGGTATAACTTGTGCAAAGTTCACTCTATCAGACACTAAAATATGCACAAATGAACAAACTGAGAAGCCCAGTGTAATCCACGAGTGAGGACTACGGAAGATGGTGCGTACACAACTTTAGCTATACCCCTCACAAGTGTAATCTGACAAGTGGGGTTTGGGAATGATGGTGTGTACACAGGCTTACCTGTGAGGGTAGAGAGGCAACCCTTTTTTTTGTTTTCGGTTTAAGGTGGATAAGCATATTTATACGCCAGAGTGTGGCAGCTCAATACCAATATTAAAGAAGTAAAACGCCAGAGTTTCTGTACATTTAGTCCTCTACTGTCTAACTTCTATACTATTTTCAGTTGTCTTTTGAACCTAAGACAACTTGCAGTAGTGATGAGAGTAAAATAGACAAGAGGTCTTAGAAAAGCAGATTAACATTACAAAATGGCAAAGATAACACAATTCCGAAGTCTACAAATATATACTCATACAACACCTGATCAAGTATACTCAAGCGGTAAAATGTAACACGTAAATAAATCACTAGCCTCTAGCGACGCTTCTTGCCATGCTGGATCAGGTCAGCAAAAGACTGAAAATTCACACCAACATCCTCATCATATTCAACTCCAAGTTCCTCCTGAAATGCACATGAAGATTAGGAGTGAACTTAAGGAAGAACAAGCAAGAATACAAAAAGATTGACTTGTTAATACCTTAAACTCTTTTGGATTTTTGGGCGAGTTCTCAGTTATGGCATCCCATACATCTCTGAACATCCTTTTTCGCCTTCTCCACTGATTTAAGGATTCCGAATACAACCCCTCGATGGCTTTTCTTTCTTCTGGACTAACAAGAGTAACACCTTCCCGCAATTTAATTAGCTTCTTTTCCATCTCATCAACCTTGAAATGATAAAGAAGTTAGGATATTTTTCAAGTTAAGCTTGACGACCAGATTCAAATTCTAGAGGGTTACACAGAGTCTCTTCATCTCGTACCTCTTTTCTCAGTTTGGATTCTTTAGCATGTATCTCTTCCATAGTCAAATTTGACTGCAGAGACTTCATCTCTGCAACAAAAACATTATAATTTCCATGTACCATCACTCGGTGAGTTGAAGATTATCAAATTCAAAAACCATCCGACAAATCTGTACAAATAACTCACAGGCAACAACAAGGAGTATCAAATAAGAGTACCTGCTTCAACCTCACTGATAGCTTTCTTCTGTTCATTCAGCTTTTCTTGTAGATTGGCATTTTCTTCCTTCATTCTATTAAGCTCTTCCGTATCTGGGATGTCAAACTGATCTTGCCGAGCCAGATAGATTTTCTGCTTGCCATACTCTTTAAATGATATCTTACCACTGTCACAGAGATTATCAAGCGCCTTTTGTACTGCAGCTTTTTTAAGGTTAAACTTTTGCAGTGCATCTGCCGCATTTTGGACATTCAATGGTCTATTTTGCTACATGAAACACCACACAAGAAAAAGGAATCAAATACCGTATAACTCAAAATACAAGAATTTGCAGAGATATTTCCAGGCAATAACAAACTAACAGCTATCCAGAAAAAAACAGACAAGAAAGCGCAACTTGAAGCTATGTTAGGCAGCAAAGGAAATACACTCTGCACACACAGTAGCAACAAGCACTTGAAGATCCAACTAAAGGTGTAATTCTTCTATATCTTAATGGAACTTTTACAAAGGAACCAAATATATTATACAATAGCTTAGTTACATTAAAGCTAATCAATTTGATAAACAATAGCTTTCAAAACTTACACCTGAATCTTCAAAGCAAAATAAAAGAAAATGTAGTGTACTGCATTACAGCTTTTACTGCATAGCTGCTAATTTTAAGCACATAATTACACTTCATGTTTCAAATTGAATGCTCATACTGGTGAAGTAAGTAGAAATTAGTTAATTACAGTTTGTGTAAACAATAGTAACACGTTCAAACAAAAATTCTATAAATCTTAGATCCTTCGACTACATTTATTTACACATTACAGGTGAGAATTCGAAGAAGAAACAAAGAAAAATGCACAGTAACACTACAAACATCGAATTAGATATACTAGTTAGAAAAATGATGAACTGTGTGCTACCTCGTTTACGAAATTGAGCACGATTCCTGCAAATTTTCAAGTAACAAAAAGTCGATAAGCTTTAGAATCTGTAAATTAAGATTACAACTACGAAAATATTCAATTCTGTTATCCGGCGAGAGAAGTTACCTTCAGTGTTATCTGCTTTAGGAGCCATGGATTGGAGAATTCACAGAGCGCGGGAAAAAAAACTTCTGTCAAAATTTCTGTACTTCGAATTCACAGGAAACATTGGGCACGAAGGCCTTTATACGATGTCGTAGTTGAACATCGCGGGAACTTACCCTTAGTATAGCCACTAATTACGAAAAGAGGATTCTTCCATCGCAAGTTTCAAGTGAGAGTTGCCATAGAGCCCATGGGCCTTGTTAGGATGAACCAACCCAACTAGAGAGACTTTACGGGCTTTTAGTTCATAATAAAGTCCAAATATAACGGGCGGTGGAAGATGAACAATCGCTAAAAAATATATTGAATTAAAAGAAAACAAAATCGGCCATGGTTTCAATTTTGTGCGTATAAAACTTGTTGATACTATCTTCATTTCACCTATCTTATTAAATTATTCACAAATTTTGATTATCTTATCGTCCAGTCAGAACACATTAAACAATTTAAAAAATGAAACAAAAATGATTCCAATTGTATTCTCCATCAACTATAGTACAGTTAAAAATAAGATAAAACAAAAACAGAAAGTTGAAACAATTTGTCTACAAATAAATACCAAAAACAACAATTAGGTCAAATTTCCACCACTCTGCTGCCACAAATTGATAATATCAGTAGCTTGATTAAGCAAAATAATCATTTGCTTTTGTGATATCCATGGCTTACTCTCTAGTGTTGTTTTCAACTCTTCCCATGCATCTTTTCTAGGCCAAAAAAAATATGGACTTAATGGTACACTTCCATGGTCTGGTAAAACTTGATCAAGGCCAAGTCCAATATTTTTCTCCATCCATATGAATTTTAGCACTAGCCTTGGCTTCTCAATTACCTTTTTCTTCATATCAACTTTCTGAAAAAAATATATCCAAGAATTCACTATAAGATATCAAAACATAATATCCTATCCTTTTTTGGGCTTATTATTTATATAGTCGTACGTATCTGGAATGAATTATGTGCATTCAACTGAACTTCTTATTTTCATCTTTAATAATGTAGACGTTTCAATACGAGTTTGAGTATTTGACACGGGTGGAAGTCAGAGATTGGATTTTGTCATAGGCGTATCTAGCTAGGATGAGTTAAATGTGTTCAAGTGTTCAACTGAATCTGTTATTTTTGGGTCAATATGTACATACATTATGTTGTTTTGGTACGGGTGCAAGTATATGACACAAATGTTTGATCTAGAGGTTGAATTCATCATCACTAAAATTTTAGGGCTCGAGGGTACGAATTGATATATCTAGTTTTTGTCGAAACATAACTTATATTTATAGGTAATGCTATAATTTAACTCCATTTTTGTTCTGTTTTTAGCTAAATGATCAATATATTTCCCCAATTATGCCTTTTTTTTATTAATTAAAACATTCATAAATTTGCTAGTTATTACTCATTTTCATTAAGAAGTTGTTGGACTACCATTTCATATTTAGAAAAGTCGAACAACACAGTACGTGTTAAATAATCATAGTAAAAGTGAATTCAAAGACTTAAAAATTCTAGATTTGTCGTATATATCAAATGATTCTAAAATATTACTATATTATCCTTTGAATATAAATTTGATGCTTTGGAAAATGTATTATATATTGAATAGTAGTATTCAATATCAAGGGTTTTCATGTTTTTCAAATTGGACAAGTATTGTTAGACGACTATTTTTAATATAATGACCAAGTAAAGATGGATTGAGGGAGTATTTACATTCTTAAATTACGTATCAAGTCAAAATCAGACAAAGATTACTCAATTTTACTAGTGAGAAGTAACACTACCATTCATGAAATTAATTGAGTAGCGCAAAAACTAATCTAGACACTAAGTTATCGAAAAAAGTTACCTAATTGAAAATTAAAGAGCTGATTTTTTACCTCAATTTCTTGAACAACAGACTCTGAAGTCTCAACTTCAACTGATTCTGCTTCTGCAACTGCTGAAGCAAAAATCTTATGAATTCTTCTTGTTGATAAACCTTTGTTGTTAAAAGATAATGAAGAACATGATTTGAAGGATTTATAACCTGGATTTTGTGAAGGTAAAGAAGGGATACTCAAATTGCCTTTCAAGCTAGATTGAACAGACATTGATAACATTTTTTGTGTAGATAAAAAAAATATTTGTCTAGTGATGAAAAAAAGTGAAGTGGGAAAATTGTGGCCTTAAAAAGAGTGTGTATAGAGAATTTGAGATAATGATAGAATGGATAAGGTAATAGAAGAAAAAAAATGAAAGTTGTTTAAATTGGGCTAAGAGGCCTATGGGTGAGGACTTTGGTCATGTTATGGGATTTGGGCCCAAAAGAAATATGATCATTAGTTATCATAGCTTTACTAATTTTGTATATTTAGCAACGTTGAGTTGATTCGGGATGTCAAACGAGCGGATTGAACAATTTTTTGAGAGTTAAAGTTGTGTTGATAAACGAGTGGTATCGATTTGTTTGAAGATTATAAATTTGAGATAAGATGGGTTAGTATTTTGTCGTAGTCTAATATGTTCAACTTTTATCAAGTTTACAATTCTTAGTAGACAAAACTTATGAGTATCAGATTTTTATAGATTAATTTTGTCATCCCTAATCAAATTGATCAATATTATCTGATTATTCAAAAAAAAGTAGAATGTATCTCATGGGTGAAGATTGTTCGTGCTTCTCAAATGTTACGTACTTTTTTAGGTCATTAGTCAGCAACTCTCTCGACAATGACTTCACATTACTTTTTTAACACGTCTATCATTATTATTTTTAGAAAATCATTTTTTGAGATAGATGTTGCGCCTTGAACATGTGGATGAGTGTGATATATGTATGCCTCTTTGACTATTCGTGAAATTAAATCTCTAATATTAACAAAAGAGGGGCATATTAAGAATGTCCTAGAGCTACATTCTTTCTTATTGGTATTAATAAAAAGCCATCTTTTTAATAAGATCTGAAAAAAAATTGAAAATGAAGTTCATATATCATAAATATTTTTCTTTCAATGTCATTTTCTACATAATTAGTAAAAGAGACGACTTTTGATATATATGTCCATGCGTACTACTCATTCAAGTTTATGAAGAAAAAACATTACTTGAGCTGAATTTTATGATATTGACAAAATCATATAATAAAAAAATAATAATATTAATATTAGTCATATTAATTATGAAGTGATCAAAATGAGTTGCAAATTTGAAGAAACCACTAATTCAATTCATACTTATAATTTGCCCTTTACATACACAAAAAAGTATATTTTTATGATCAATGTGACGCTTGGTTTTATTTTTCCTAAGAGCTAATATTGGGCTAGAGGTGTCGTATCCCGGAAGAACGGAGATTGATGATGATATCGTACATTGCATAATTGAAATGGACTGGATAAAATGAAGGTTCGTACTAGGGTACTATGTGATAAGGATGTGTTGTCAAGTCGTAAATGTAAGTTCTACAGAATGATGATAAGAACAACGTCAAATGAATGAGTTGAATTGAATTTAAATGAGTCAAAATGAGTTGAGTTAATAAATAGACTGATCAGAAGTTATTTAAGTTTGAGATAGTGCATGTCATAACCCAATCCACCAAATTCTTATTAAAAACATTTTTCTAACTACATTTTTTTATACATAAAAATTTTAAAAATTATTTTTCCTCTCTAATAAAGACTATTTTCAAGCAACTAAACATTAGAAAATAACTTATTCAATTTTGAAAATCATTATACCAAATAGTACACGTGTAATTAGTTGAAGTGACACCTCTTTTGTATAGAATAATTAACTGAAATTTTTGCCAAATGTATTTGCTCATGTTAAATAGAAGTCCTAATTTGTACCAAAATTTTATTTATTTATTGGAAAGAATTCTTTAATTACTTACTAAAACATGTTTACATGATCTAATAGTTGAAAATGGAAGCAATTGAAATTGACAGAATGGTTCCACGTTTGTTTGAGTTGTATAGAAAGTCTTTATATTTTTAATTCATTTCTTCACAAAGAAAAATTCAAAAAATAAACTTTCAAATGAGAAAAATCATTTTTCAATAAGCGTTTGATATTTATATTTAAGTCCAATTAAATTAGAATTCATATAACGTAACTCATTTCTAAGTATAATGCTTCCAACAGTTTTTGTTAATTTTAGAAGCTCAAATTTGAAATATGATTAAAAATAAAGAAATCGAATCCCAATAATTCTACCGCAATTTGTCAAAATGAGAAAACTTTGAGAACTCTTCAAACTGTGAGAGATCATTAAAAAGACAAATCACATAGTGAACCAATTGCCTAGCAATACAAATTAATTTGTTCCTTTTGCTACATTGAAAAGTCATTTAGCTTAGTGTATACACACACAAAAAAAAAATAGAATAAGTCTTTTAGTATAAGCTTGCTCTAAATTCTTTTATATATATATATATATAGCTTGATACATATTTATTCATTTCATAAACCTTTTTCATAAATCTATATTTAGACCATATTGTTATTTCTTCGGACTCTTCTTTTGGTATTTGCTATCACTGTCTTTTTCTTGTAACAAATTTCTGGTAATTTTCCTTTATGTTTTCTTTGATTTGTTTGTTATATTTCTAAATAAAATCCCAATAATAGATTTTCTTTAATTTCCAATTGAACTTGCAGGTTTAAAGAGCAATGTTGTGTTATTGGTAAGTCTTGTACAAATTCCAATGAGCATTACTCTTTTTGTATGTTAAGCCATGAAATGTCATGCCATCTTTCAATAATTTCTAGCATAACCGACCAACAATAACGATAACATACTCAGTGTACAGTGTACTTCATAATCCTACAAGTTAGGTCTAGGTCTGGGGAGGGCGTATGGTGTATACGAACCTTATAACTCCTACATTAGAGAAGTTGTTTCAGATAAATCCATAACTAAAGGAAATATAATGTAATGTAAGAAACAAAATCTATATAGGTAATAATATAATACACCAACTCGTGTCACGTTGATTGGCAGACCTAGCTTATAAGTTACGGATTCACATGAACTAGTAAATTTTGACTTGATCCTATATTCATCAGACATTTAATCGTAAAATCTAGTTTTTATCAATATATATTAACTCGAGATCATTATAAAAATCATATACTTTAAATCGTAGATCCGAGTCTTGTTGTTTTTTGGTACAAATTATTGTGGAGTGGGTGGGAAGTTTCTTTTCTTTGTTCTCACCACCGTACTATGAACACTTGGTGGTGTTAGATAGAATCATTCAAATTTTTCACTTTCATGCACGTCTTTTCTTTATGGACACCATCTTTTCTCTTCATGGCCTTCA